GGGCTCCTCAGGGGTGGCACTGATGGCAGGAGAGGACTTTGCCCTCTATAAATACAGACACATTGAGCAGCAATCTTTTATTGCTCTGCTCTTGTTGAGGTGTCTCTGTGCAATTCTGACACTTCACCATGCTGAAAGCAGGAATTTAATCTGCACCTCCAAACTCTCCAAAGGAAGAAAAAATACTGCTCAAACCCCACTTATTTGGGGTTTCTGAGACCCCTTCTCAACTCCTGCTGAGGTGAGGCTGCCATGCAGCAGCACTGATTATTGTGCACAGCCTACACACTGTTCCTCAGAACTTCTCCCAAGGAAACATTTCAAAAATGACATTTGATTTGAACAGCTCTCAGCAAAGTGAGTGGCCCAGCAGACCCAGAGATCAGGCACTGATACAGAGAGGGGGAGAAAAAGCACTGGGGCTTTAATTATGCCAATAGTTATACATGACCAACTCAGGGCTTACAGCAATTTTCATCTGGATACAGCCAAAGGAGCAGGTAATGACTCAAAGCTGCTCCTGAAGGAAAGGACAAGCCTTGGAGCCACAGGAAAAGCAGCCTCCTGAAAACCTTAACTTTATTTTATTTCTGACTTATTTATTCTTTCTTATTCCTTCTTTCTATTTCTTTATTTCACAGAAAGTGGAAAAACATGGAGAACACAACATTCCTGGGAGAGCTCCAACTGCTGCTTCTCATTCCTGTGTAACTCTGGGCTTGTATTTTGTTAGAAATGCAACTAAAGGCTGCAAGGTTCCTACTCCTTCTGATCTGCAGCCACTGCAAAAGACTGGAGCCAGCCCTGGGTGAGGAACATCCCTGTTCAGAGAGAGAGGGAACAGAGCAGCTGCTGAGCATCCCTGAGAATCCCTGAGCCTCTGGGACAGCTCCATCCCAGCATCCCAACATCCCTGAGCCTCAGGGACAGCTCCACCCCAGCATCCCTGATTCTCTGGACCAGCTCCATCCCAGCATCCCTGATTCTCTGGACCAGCTCCACCCCAGCATCCCTGACCCTCTGGATCAGCTCCATCCGTCGGGAACAGCCCGGAGCAGGCAGCGGGGCGTGCCCAGCAC